CTCTCTCTCTCTCTCTCTCTCCCCCTCACACACACACACACACACACACACACACACACACACACACACACGCGGGTGTGTGTACACACAAACAGAGATATGCGAATTCCGTTCTTCTGCCGTTGAGAAAAGCGGGAAGTTCTCTGAGGGCAAGGGAACGCGGTCCCTCACTGCGGAAACCTACCGGTAGAATGCTCAACGGAGGCACACGTATGTAGAAACATAAGGAACTGGAATCGCCAAGGAATAAGGGCGAAAGAAAGGACGGTAGGGAGGGAGGGAGGGGGGGATAGAGAAAAACAGGGTGAGGGAGAGAGAGGGTGAAAGAATGAAGAGCAGTAAAGATGGTAGCTGCATGGGTTAAGGCGTTACGAATGCGGCGAGTGGCTGCTGACAACGACTACCAGCATCGGCGACCGGCAAGAGCCCCGGAGATGGAGAAAGGCGTGTGGAAGGTATCGTGACAATGGTCAAAATGGCAATCGGGTGGGTTAACTGGGGCCTCATGCAGATCGGCTGGCCGGTCATCGTCTTCTTCCTGCCTGCGACCCATGAGAAAGCTGAGAAATGCATGAGAGTGCAAGCAACGGAAAATGCACACTTGAGCTCCATGACACCTGCACCATCGATCGAGTGCTGGAAGCGGGACAGATGGCGCGTTCAACGTGAGCGCTCCTCATTGCGAAGGCCCATTTTCAACACCCTTCCCGTGGCACTTATCCCGCCAAGACCAGCGTTTCTTTTTTTCGCCGAGATGGTCCATCCCGCCAAGACGAACGTCCTTCCCCGCCTCAGGGATGGGGAAGCAATTTTGAAATCGGCGGCAATTTTGAAATCGGCGGATTCATATTTCAAAACCTCGATAGTACCTAGTGTGAGGTGAAATTGAGAGAAGAATATAGCTTTTAAAAAAAAACACAAATTTGCTCCAGCCTCCAGTTGTGCGTTGTTGTATGAGCGAGTGCCTGTGGTCAGTGGAGGGGCCGCCAGGAGGGGACCGACCGACAGCCTTGAGAAGTCATCGGCCACGAACTGGGGTTTTGAGGGCCTCCTTGTTAGGGGGTAACTGGTACTACTGTAGGGTGTCTGGTGTACTTCGCGGACTATTGAACGGCATCTTGCTTGTGATGATTCTCTGCGTCTGTAGGTTTCTATCATGTTACTCTTTGGGTGCAGTAGAGTATAGGTCGGCAGTTTCCAGGGTACCTGTTTTAGCTTTTCTTTTGAGGTTTGAATCTGGCTGGCAGACGAGAAAGTGTGTCGCGACTGTTCTTCTGGTTCTGCCGGTGGATTGAGTGGGTCGATTGATGGTTTACGATGTTCCAGGGTTTAGGGGCTCATTAGACACTCGTTGTGGCGTCTTTGAGGCCCAAGGAAGTTCCTTCAGGGTTTTGAAGGAAATTCTCGCCGTTTTTCCACCTATCCTCGGGGTGGTCTCCTAAGGATGATTCCTTTTGGCCCCCAGCGGCCATTTACATAATATTATAGTCGGGCGCGGGGGGAGGCAATGCCTTGGTCCATTGGGTGATGTTAGTCTTGCTAGGTGTGGTCCAGCTGCAAAAGGCGGGAAATTTTGAAAGTTGCTGGCAACGGGGAACCCACACGTTCTAAAATCAAATTTTGCATTGGGTGCTGGACATCATGATGGCGACGCGGAGCAGGTGGTGTCCATACAGGCAACGGTGGAAATGGGCATTTCCAGCGGTGCAGTGAAGTCCTTGTAACTCATCACGAATTTGTGAGCGTCCCGCGAAGGTGCATCACCATCACGGGTATGTGTGGAGTCGAGCATACGTGGGGAGCATCGTCGGCGACTTGGCGCTGAGGTTGCCGTGGTTGTGGCAAGTTCGTAAATTGTTGTATTTAAGTGGTTCATGAGCATTGCAACACACATGCCAATGGAGGGCGGCAGCGATGTCGGATGTCACGGTGCGAAGTGGACAACAATCGAAAAGACGGTCGTGACGGTGGTTGTGACGGTCATGCTCTTTCATTGTCAGCAAGAGAGGGCGCAAATCTCCGCGTGGAGAAGGAAGATGCTACATCAAGTCCCGGTCGAAGGGTTGCATACTGTGGTCATCACCGAGGATGTAGTTCAGGTTTGTTGCGCTATGGGTTACAGTGTTCTTCTACGAGCAATGTCGAGGTGGTGGATGAAAAAGAGGACGGGGAGGCCGTGGGAGGATCTCAGGTAATGCGTTGACGCGACAAAGCAGTACTTCCCAGAGAAGTTGTGTATGTCGCCATCTGGGTAGCACCCCGTACGTGTACGTATTCCGACGTACACGTACGAACCCAAAATAGTGCGTACTCATATGTGGAAAAAAAAAAAAAAAAAAAAAAAAAAAAAAAAAAAAAAAAAAAAAAAAAAAAAAAAA